TCCCAACTTTCAACTAACTTCCACACAGCTCCGACTCTAACTCTAACTCCTCCTATCAGTTTCTCTCTGGTCAATCACATTTGACACTCATTTAACCCTTTCCTTATGACCCACCTAGGAGGCAAACACCACAGCAATATATCAATATATTGTCCAAAACTGGTTTGAAGTTCAAATTGTGATAGCGGTTTCATAATTTTTGACCTGGCAATATATTGCAAATCATGATGTGTGTGCATGTATGTGCACTATGCAAAAATCATGATGCAGGAAAAATTGTGAAGCTAGCCAATGCCTCTATATTGCTCCATTTTTATTTCAGACATTGTAATTTATCAGCATGTCCTGATGTTTAGGTAAAGGTAAAGGTAAAGGGACCCTTGACCGTTAAGTCCAGTCGCGGACGACTCTGGGGTTGCAGTGCTCATCTTGCTTTACTGGCCAAGGGAGCCGGTGTTTGTCCGCAGACTGGGTCATGTGGCCAGCATGACTAAGCCGCTTCTGGCAAACCAGAGCAGCACACGGAAACGCCGTTTACCTTCCCGTCAGAGAGGTACCTATTTATCTACTTGCACTTTGACGTGCTAGGTTGGCAGGAGCTGGGACCGAGCAATGGGAGCTCACCCCCGTCACGGGGATTTGAACTGCTGACCTCCTGATCGGCAAGCCCTAGGCTCAGTAGTTTAGACCACAGCGCCACCCACGTCCCATCATGTTGTGATGTTTAGCTGGTGATATATCACAATGTTGGAAACCAGTTGCGTGTTCAGACCCAGAGACCTCCCCCCTAAATAAATTCACACTTGACTCAAATTTTAGTTTGGTTTTTGGCAGAATTTAGGCCACAACTTTATTGATTACAGAAAGTGAGTGGTTGCATAGGCTCTGGTTTGACTAGCTCCCTGCACACTTGCAGGTAGTGCTGACCCAGGGTTCCAACATAGGTCAGCCAAGGGTGAACACCTGGATAGGCGAAAAGTCGGGAACAGACTATGTCCGCCACCCAGATGTCCCCCTGGACTCAGGTACGGGCACAACCCCCTCTCAGGGGTTGACCAAACCATTTGCGTCCCTGGATTCCTTTAATGGAATACCCTTCACATAGGGATGGCGAGAGCGTTCCCCCATCCCTACCACCTAAACCAGAGCCTATCCGCAACCTTATAAGTTGTGACGATTTGCTACGTAGCAGGCAAAACCCAAATAGCACCAGCCAATCAGCCAAGTGGGGAAAATTCCTGCCGTGCCCCTGTCCCAACGACAGATGACACATGACAGCATGGCAAAGTCAAGCGCACAAGCCCTAAAAGTAGGGAGAGGTGGGCGGGTGTTCTGAATGCATTCACCGAAAGAGGAAACTCTGGGTCACGTGCATGGGTATATATAGGTCCCTCGATCTGTTTGGACTGTGCCCCATTGGTCAGATTAAACCCAACATCGAGGGACCTACCAATCGGGTGTTGTGGCTGACCAATCTTACCCACCCACAACACAGGGGATCGGTTTCCAGGTCTCACCGCAACATGTGCCCTCCTTTAGTGAGGACACAATATATCGCTCAGCCCTACTGTTGGCCTCTACATAGTTCCATCCTTATTTCAGACATCGTGAAATATCAATATATTGCGATGTTTAGCTGGTGATATATCGTGATGTTGAAAATCAGATATCGCCCAGCACTACACATAGAGAATAAAGCATTAACAGGTCACCGTAAAAACAACTTCTACCTTAAAATGCCTGCTGGAATAAAAAAAAGCCTTTGCCATGTGCATGAATTTCAGCAAGGAGAGTGCCTGTCTAGTCTCAGGAGGTTCCACATCACTGAATGCATAGGTGGGGGCCAGGGAAAAGAGTGGGAGAACAGCAAATGTCATTTTTACCTTTGTGCAATAGGCAAGTTTCTGCACATGCTTACACACCCCTGTTTATCCTCCATCCAGACAAGCAAGAGCCATTATCTGAGTTCAAAGACACATGTCATTTTGTTGTTGGAAATTTATGTATTTGGTTTTTCAAATTTAAATTTCACAGAGATATATCAAACATAAATCATAAAAACAAGGAATCTCATGGACTTCCATCCTCCCCTTTGTGGGTCCTATTATTAATCATTTCCATTTTAGAATTTCTGCCCTCCCTTCTCAACTGGTGGGTAGGGGGAGCGTATTTTGTTTCATTTTCCCAGCTTCGTATATGTGTGAGGTTTTTATGTCAGGGTCATTTGGGTAGGTTCTCTTTCTGTATATTTGTTGGTCTACATGGGCAGTGCGAGAAGGTTGAGGGGCCCCAGGGCATGTTTGTTTTCTCAGTTTGCATTTCTTAGTACAGAAAGCATTGATCTGATGTGCAGAGATCTTTCATCTTCTACTTAGTTAAATAGGGTTCTGGAAGGTTTCTTTCTATGAGAAAGAAACAGGCAGAATGTTTCTGATGTTTGGGTTATTCCTTCTGGGAAGCTGAGTACAGCGGGTTTAAACTGGTTCTGTCATCCTTTCTGTCAAGGTCATGCTAAAGATAATAGTCAGGACAGGAGGATCCTGGGTTTCTCACCTTTCTCTTTCCATCTCTTTGTTCTGGTGTGGTGTTCTGTTCTGTATGCTATACTGTTAAGGTTTAGTCTTATTATAAGTTAGTTTAAGTTAAGTCTGCTGCAACTGTACTTCTGATGGACAGTGCCAATCCTGAATGTATTGGATTTGCAACCATTATGCCTTCAGTAACAGTAAAGCTCTGCTGGATGAGATACAATTGCCTCTGGTCTATTTTTGGGAACTCTGCTTCGTGTTTCAGTTTTCCTCTACACACGTCATGTTTGCCTTTGAGATTTTTAATGGAAGGGACCTCAAAGGTGAACTAGTCCAATCTCCTGCAGATTCAGGAAAAGCACTGCTACAGAATCCCTGAAAGGTGACCATCTATTCTCAACTTAAAAATCTCTTAACCACGTAGAGTCCACCACCTTTCAAGGCAAGCTGTTCCCCTGTTGAACAGCTTGTACCAGCAGGAATTTCCCCCCTCCCTAGTATAGGAGTTCCCAGTTGTGTTTCACAGAGCACCAGAGGCCCACAAGCATCATTCAAGTGGTCTGCAGCATGTCTGTGGAGTTGTGGTTTAAGACAGGAGATGGCACATCCATCACATTCAATATTCACATTGATCTTATTTGTTAAGTATTTCTGTGGAATTGTAATACAATAAATTCAATATATAAGAAAGGGGCGGGAAGCAATAAAAACGCAATTAAAATCCATATAGCGTCAAGTGCACAGCACATTATATTTGCTATAACAGGCAGAAAAATCTACTAGGACCGCCTGCAGTTTTCCAATCGTCCACAAATAGGAAAAAAGCTTGAGAACCACCATTGGAGTGTCCAGCTGAACATTTTGGTACATTTTAGGTCTTTATCCAGGTATGTATATATTCTTGATACATAATGCAGCCTTCAAAAACACACATGCAAGTCTACCCACCCCCGCACACTGTTTCAGACCTGTTTTCTTATTTTTAAGAACTCGATTTGAATAGTTTCCACTCCTACACCAGCACGACGACGAATATTTTCTTTGCCTTTCATTCTCTGAGTGGGAGAGTGAAATGGACTAGAACAAGAATCTGAGTGCAAACCAGTCTGATTTATTGCACCTTGACCCGTTTTTAAAGGGCGTTTCATGCAGTCAAGCAGTATTAACTGCAATGCCTCAGCCTTTAGATCATAGGCCCAGCAAGGAGTGCAATGAGCTGTACTAGAGCTGGGTCAGAACAGTGTGGTGTCCTTCTAACTTGGCCAACCACTGATGCAAAGCCTGCCATTTTTGTTCCCTAGCAATGAATATTCAGAGGCATGTTGCCTCTACTTACGGCAGTGGCATAAAGACCATCTTGTGGTTACGAATGATTTGTAGCCTTATTGTTCAATTCCCTATTAAAACTGCCCATCTTGGTGGCTATCCCCACATACTGTAGCACCAAAATCCATAATTTAGTGACAGATGAAATTTTTAATGACTTTTTATCATGTTAGCCTTCTGTCCTGAATCTCCCATCATTTAGTTTCATTGGTCAACCCCAGGTTTTAACACTGTGTACAATTTAATACTCTATCTATCATGACAAGACAGGAGTGCCTGGCGTGCTCTGGTCCAGGGGGTCACGAAGAGTCGGGCACGACTAAACAACAACATCATGACAAGAACGTAGGACAAACTTGCTGGGTCAGGCCAACGGCCCTTCTAGTCCAGCGTCCTCTTCCCACAGTGGCCAACCAGATCCATGTGGGCACCCTGTAAGTTGGACATGAGCACAGCAGCCCTCTGCCCACCTGCGATTCCCAGGAACTGGCATTCAGAGTGATAGGAAAATAGCCATTGTGGCTAGTAGGCTTGTCCTCCACAAATTTGTCTCATCTTCTTTTAAAGCCATCCAAGTTGGTGGCCATCACTGCCTCCTGTGGAAGCGACTTCCATTGTTGTTCTATTTTGCTAATTTTTGAGGAGGTTCGTTTTTTAAGGAGAGCTCTCTCTTTTGTGCAAGCTCCTCTGGTGACTGCTTTCATTGCGTCCCATAGGAGGGGGGTTGTTATATTGTCTACATCATTTTCCTTGAAGTAGTTTTGGAGAGTTTTTGTGAGACTCTCTCTAATTTGTTTGTTTGTGGTTAGGATGGGACTGAAGGACCATGAAGGTGTGGTTTGTGTTCCCTCTCCTATTTTAACAGTGACTTCTACTGGGGCGTGATCTGTGATTTTAATGTTACCAATGTTTGTTGATTCCACTGAGTGGATCAGACCCTGTGTGAGCAGAATGCTATCCAGTCTGGACACTGTACCATGGCATCCGGATTGGAATATATGGCTGGTGTCTCCTGGGTTTTGCTCAACCCAAATGTCATAGAGACCCCTGTTTTTTAACATTTTTAGTAACTTGTAAGAGTCCCTAGTTGTTGGGGGTTGCGAGTTCCATTGTTTAAATATGCACTGTGTGAAGACATTCTTTCTTTTTGTTGTTGTTTAGTCGTTTAGTCGTGTCCGACTCTTCGTGACCCCATGGACCAGAGCACGCCAGGCACTCCTGTCTTCCACTGCCTCCCGCAGTTTGGTCAGGCTCATGTTTGTAGCTTCAAGAACACTGTCCAACCATCTCGTCCTCTGTCGTCCCCTTCTCCTTGTGCCCTCCATCTTTCCCAACATCAGGGTCTTTTCCAGGGAGTCTTCTCTTCTCATGAGGTGGCCAAAGTATTGGAGCCTCAGCTTCACGATCTGTCCTTCCAGTGAGCACTCAGGGCTGATTTCCTTCAGAATGGAGAGGTTTGATCTTCTTGCAGTCCATGGGACTCTCAAGAGTCTCCTCCAGCACCATAATTCAAAAGCATCAATTCTTCGGCGATCAGCCTTCTTGATGGTCCAGCTCTCACTTCCATACATCACTACAGGGAAAACCATGGCTTTAACTATACGGACCTTTGTTGGCAAGGTGATGTCTCTGCTTTTTAATTTTGCCATGCATAATTTTACGACTTTTTATCATGCCACCTCTTAGTCGCATATTCTCTTTGCTGCAACCTTTCTTCATATGGCAGTTGCTCCACCCCCTTGATAATTTTGGTTGCCCTTTCCTGAACCTTCTCTAGCATTCCATTGATTCCCACCTTACTTGCCTTTTCTTCTAAGCTAAAAAGCCCTGCGTGTAGTCACCTTTCCTCACCGGGGGGGCGGGGAGTCGCTCCATCCCTCTGAACATTTTGATTGCCTTTTTCTGCACTTCCGCAACATCCTGTTTGAGATGCGGTGCATACGTTTCCCCCCATGATGCAAGGTGCTGGAATGTAATCTAGCTCGGTTCAGCGGTGAGGCGAAAGGCACAGCCTCCCTCTTCTGTCACGTCTTCCAGGACTGAGACCCAGCTTTAAAAAATAAGGGCTGTGACCTGATGAACTGAAGCTCTTCTTAAGACCTGGGGGATAAGAACGGAATATAAACCTCTGCTTTTGAAGAGTCCGCGAGAGTGGAAGGATGTTAACAGCCTGGAGATTTCAGGGAGCGCAAAGGAGCTCATTGGCTAACCTTTATCGCTCACCCCTTAATACTGGCCAAATTGCCTGCCCCTAAATCCATCTCCGCTTGTGCGAGGGAGTAGTGTAATTTATTGCTAAGGCATTTCACTTCATATTTTGACCTCCTCCTCCTTTCTTAGCACAGAGGAATGCATACATGCAGCTTTTCATTTGAGGGTGGGGAGAAGATTTAAAAAAGAAAAAAGCATCAAAAGTGGCAATATTTTTTTTAAAAAACAGGTGGTGGTGGTGGGGACATATTACCCTCTCAGGACATGCGGTAAGGGACTTTGAAGTGGCCATACCTGAATAAAGTTACTTCAGCAGGAGGGCACCGCATGAAACCAGAGCATTACAATTCACCAAAACATTCAATCATATGTGCATTGACCCGAGACAAAGGATTTTTTTATCACACAGCATGTGTTAATTGGCTTACCAATTACGTTATTGACATCTGTTTTGTGAATTGCTGCCGCTCCGCCTGCATTTCTCTGCATTTCATTTCCCTCTGACTCCACCTCATACCTGTAGCTTAAGGTAAGACTTCATGCATCTGGTAAAGAAATGGTAGGCCATAGGGGCAGTTGCCCCAGGCACAAAATTTCAGCACCCTGTGCTGCTTCAGTAAAGCTGTACACTTCCATTGCTGGGCTCTGTTGAAAATGGCTTCTCCGTGTTAAACCAGGAAGTGACCTCTCCAGACAATGGAAGGACTCTTCTTTTCTTATCTCTGCGGCTGTCATCTTCTGGGTGATGCAGATGCCATTAGGCAGTTGAATGTGCATGCATAGTCTGTCCATTTCCCTCCCTCCCACCAGCCCCCTCTGCGTGGCCCTGGGCACTGGCAACCCACGCTAAGCTACTGAACACAGCTTCCCCTCTGAAAAAACAACAAGCAGCAAACTGGTACATTAAAATGTTTTGATGTGTTCAGGTTACTTCGATGTGCTTGGGCTTCTTTCCTCCTCCTCCTCCTCCTCCTCCCTCTCTGTGTTGCCTGCTGTTGGCTCTCCCCACCACACACTGTGGAACATTTGGCTTCAAATGCACCGAGCTCACTTGCGTTAGGGCAATCACCCTCCTATTTGTTCCTGAAGGATCTGTGACTTTGTGAGCATTCTGACTGGATACTAGAAAAACTCCTGTAGTAAGCACCACCCCTTCCTTTGCCTCTCCTTCCCCCAGGTAAACTTCTGGGGCAACAGAAGTGGCAGGTGTTCCCAATTCCTGGAGGAGCATATTTTGCCTGCCAGGATCTGCAACAACAAGTCCCAAAATTTCTGGTGGCAATGAGAGAAAAGGCATTTGTTTCTTGCTAGGGATTCTGGGACTTGTGTGGATAGTGTCATTCCATAGCTTAATCACTAGGTGGCACGAGTCTTGGGTGTATCTGTGTGGAGTTAGGCATTTCCTGTTCCTGTTCTGCTCTTATTAGAGAGAGGCAATAAAGTTTGCCTCCTGTGTCCTCTATGCCTTCCATGACCAACATCTTCTAGAATTCTGCATGTCACCGAGAGAGAACTGTTTCCAAGTCCCCTAAATAGTCAGTCTATCCAGAGGTGTTTCTAGGTCTCCAAAGAAGTTGGAGCCCAGGTCCAATAATTTTGCATACATGTAAGGAGCACCTCTGGGTAAACTGCAATGGCACTGTGTTGGTTTCACTGTGGAAGGAACTACCAAAGTGATAAAATGGTCCTAGCCAAGTGAGTTCAGCATCCTTTTTGCATGTCTAAAGAACTGGTCAAGTACAGATGTGTTGCCATGGAAACAACTAGCTAGTTATGCCCCCAGAAGGAGTGGGTAGGCCTTTCCCCCGCCCCCAACTTTCTAGTGGCCATATCATCCTAGATGTAGGAGAACAATAGGCTAGGGGGCTAGTCTGGTCTCATCTGGAGCTAAAAGCAGGGAAGACACATCAGCTTCACTTGCTCTTGGTGCTGAGACCAAAGCTGTGATTTTGGTTGTTTAGTCATGAAGAGTGTCTGACTCTTCGTGACCCCATGGACTAGAGCATGCCAGGCACTCCTGTCTTCCACTGCCTCCTGCAGTTTGGTCAAACTCATGTTGGTAACTTCAAGAACACTGTCCAACCATCTTGTCCTCTGTCGTCCCCTTCTCCTTGTGCCCTCCATCTTTCCCAACATCAGGGTCTTTTCCAGGGAGTCTTCTCTTCTCATGAGGTGGCCAAAGTATTGGAGCCTCAGCTTCACGATCTGTCCTTCCAGTGAGCACTCAGGGCTGATTTCCTTCAGAATGGATACGTTTGATCTTCTTGCAATCTATGGGACTCTCAAGAGTCTCCTCCAGCACCATAATTCAAAAGCATCAATTCTTCGGCGATCAGCCTTCTTGATGGTCCAACTCTCACTTCCATACACCACTACTGGGAAAACCATAGCTTTAACTATACGAACCTTTGTCGGCAAGGTGATGTCTCTGCTTTTTAAGATGCTGTCTAGGTTTGGGTACCCTACTAGAAACCTAATGGGGAAGCAAGATGCTATGAGCCCCTCCATCTTATGCTCAGGATGTATATATCTGTAAAGACCCCAGCATCTCCAGTGACCTTCATCCCAAGGAAACGGAACCCAAGGTGAGCGCTGACACCCCGGAAGTCAGGGCAGGAGATTTGACTCCCAACCGTGTCCCTGAGCCTATGAGTCTCTGGAAGAAGAAGAAGAAGAAGAAGAGTTTGGATTTGATATCCCGCCTTTCACTCCCCTTCAGGAGTCTCAAAGCGGCTAACATTCTCCTTTCCCTTCCTCCCCCACAACAAACACTCTGTGAGGTGAGTGGGGCTGAGAGACTTCAAAGAAGTGTGACTGGCCCAAGGTCACCCAGCAGCTGCATGTGGAGGAGCGGAGACGCGAACCCGGTTCCCCAGATTAGGAGACTACCGCTCTTAACCACTACACCACACTGGCTACAGCACTCCTGAAACCAGAAACCTCAGAAAAAGAGCTCCTTTTAGTTCTATCCAGATGTAAATCATCCCATCTTTCTTCCAACAACATTAGCGGTGGTGTCCTTCGATTGAAGGGAGGCAAATGCCTATAGAAATAAATCAATCCTCTGCAATTTCTCCTCCCAGCCTGTCCCGCTTGCCTGATGAGGGTTTTCTTTAAGGGCCTGCCGGCTCGCAGATTGGTGGCTCCTGTTCTAATTAAATTCTCCTCTTTTCTTGTGCTTGCCGAAGCATTTAGTAGCAACTTTTAAAGCACATAAAGTAATAATGATGCAATTATGTCGGTAGGCATCTGCCGAGGATCAATAGGACTAGATTGACTCCTCTCCAGCCAGTCAATCAGTTCTGAGTGGCCAATTTGGGGGGTAGAACAGGCCATTATGATGCCAGTGCTTGAATCTGAAGTCTCTGAAACCCCAAACAAGGGAGACAAAGACAAAGCCTATGTATTTTATTATAAAAAGCAACCTGTTACAATGCCATTTACAAGTGACCCGCCTACAGCTGTGGAACGAGCCAGGATATTTTTAAAAATACAATTGGTACGGAACTCTGATAATGCAGGACAGAAAGGTGTGTTGCTGATTTGTTTTCCATATTTTACTTCTAAGAACACCAGAGGAATCCTGCTGGATCTTACCAAAGGCTCACCTAGTCCAACATCCTGTTTCAGTGGAAGAGTCTCTCTCGGGAGGTTGTAGCTAGGGCTGCTATTTTTTTGGATGTTACTGGGATTTCAAAGGTGGAATTGACGTTTCTCCTGGCAGATCGGGACAAAGATATCACTGCTTTAGTAGCTTCCTTTTTACCCAAAAGGGTTCCCAACGAGCCATCCTTTTGGGGAACAGACAGGGCGAAGCAGAATATCCAAATGCACATGATCACAGTGTGACTTTATGACCCTTGACAGCTTCACCCTTGTCCTTTTCATTATCCCAGTGACCTGAAATGTTTTATACTGTGACGCCAATAAAGGTATTTGATTTGATTTGATTTGAGGTGGAATTGACATCCAAAAGACATTAGGTGGTGCTTTGTCCTGGCAAGTCAATCGGGTATTCCTAGAAAAAGCTCAACAACTTTCGGGGTGCCTTGGAGGTTCTAAAGTACAGGTTGGATGGACATCTGTCATGGATGCTTTAGCTAAGATTCCTGCATTGAAGGGACTTGGACCTTTGGGGTCCCTTCCTACTCTATGATTCTTTAAATACACACCATGCATTTAAAGCACATGCCTTCCTAGAAAGAAACCTGGGAACTAGAGTTTACCTC